TTACAGATTAATAAGTTGACAATTAATTAGATTATCATTATTGCGTTTTTATCTAGATGTTTTTAATTTAATATAATAATTAAATATAATTTTTTTACAAATAATTACTTTTAATTATTTTAACATTTTTTTTCATGTAACCTTGTTTTTTATTACAAAACTCTTATTAACGAGAAAGAAAGGAATATTATCAATAAGAAACGCACCAATAAACTTTTACCTTTTTACAGGCATTTACACATGACGAATGTAGATATATATATACATTACAGAGTAAAGAACTACGTATGCATATTTATGTTTTTCCAACTAATGTATTAATTGTTTTTATAACAAAATCAATAAGTTGAGTAAATTATGCGTATTTTTTTTATATAATTAATATCTGAAAATAGTTTTATTTCAAATATAAATAATTAGTTTTGCATTATTTCTCAAAAAATCATTCGTGTAAATAATATGTTGTAACATCTTATCGCGGGATAGTAACTGCTATATCAACTGGGCATGGTACAGCGCCTCTTCATGACTTGGACTTTATAGTTTTGACTGCCGTATCAATATTTACATTCAAATGTAAAACTATACATACTTCTTCGTTCTCTTGTACCGTATTCAGTTATCTGCGTTCTGTAAGGAGAAACGGACAGAACGGCAGAAATTATAACAAAAGAAAACGTGTGACAATATTACGAAAGTGTCAGATAACGAAGCAAAATGCAGGTTTGTAGACAGATATATGCTTACGTCAGATCAAATTTCCATCAATGTTTGATAAAAATGCATCTTGATATAAAAGAATTCGAAAAACACATAAAGGACGACAAGAATGGCCATGGATATGTTTCAAGTACAACGATACTTCTACCTTACGATGTCTTCTCTGTCGTGACAATTTTCAATCTGCTTTTCAATCTTTAGCATTTCATTTACACCAAAAGCATGTTAACGAAGTGAAGAATTACGTTTACGATTAAATATGGAAAAATTTTACGAGAATTGATATGCAATTAATATTATAGCAACTCGCGTTTTTCAATTAACGTGCGTCAGTTTTTATTTATTCGCATGATATTTTGCACATTTATTTTTAGTATAATTACTAATTTCGTTGTTATTATTAATGTTTATAATTATTATTAATTATAGACATTAATGCTTATAGTTATTATTAATTATAAATATTGAAATTATAATACAGTATTAATTAATATTAATTTATATGAGTTTGTTAGTATCTTCTAATACTTTATTACATATAAAAAAATAGCAAAAAGAAACATTAAGTTTATTACATACAATTAAATTGCTTTTTTTAAAAAAAATTTTTTCGTTATATCTATTCAAGAATAAAACTTTGAAAATATACAAATTTATCAGTTGAATGCATTGTTTGAAAATGCGACATAACTTGTAAACTTAATTTATAAAATACAAAGAGCTGAATTAATTCACAATTATAATTAGAAAAAAGATTTAATTTTGTATTATTTTCTTCCACGAACTCACAATGCCGATTGATGTATAATAATTGTATATATGTTTCAGGACTTTCGTTAAGCGGCGGATTGATATTACTTGCTTCGGCATTGTCGGACGCATCATTGGAATTACCAGGAAAATACAGTTTGCAATCAATCGCCGGCATGCAAATAGACGATAACGGTCTACCGCAATATCATTACGGCTGGTGCCTTCAACTTTCCGGGTTAGCGCTTATGCTCGCGGAAGTGGCAGCTGTTTTAACGATGTCCGGCTACATGGCGCGATTCTCTAGGTCGAGGAG